CGGCTGCTCCGCGCCCGCCGTCGCCGCCGCTGCGTCTGCATGCTGCTGCTGCTGCTGCCGGCTGGCGCCCGCGAGCTGTGGCGGAGGTTGCGCCTCGCCGGCAGACAGGTCGATGCAGCAGCCTATGACGTCACCCGCCGCCCAGGGCCGCCCGTAGGTTCGCGCCCGCACGTTCCACCGCTTCATGCGCTTGCCTGCAGCGAGGGGCGCGCAGCCGCGAGGTGCCAGCGCGCGGGTGCGAGGCGACGCGTGGGCGCGGCACAGCGAGCGCGCACGAACAACGCTGCACGTCCCTCTCCCCAACCCCCGCAACGCTGACTCAAGCAACATCCAGCTGCACCCCACGAGTGCCCGCCGCCCTTGCAACCACCTAATCAACCCTCTAGCTGCACAGGCGCCCAATGGTCGCCGCTGCCCACCACAAAGTATTAGGCGTGGCAGGGCGCCAGCGCGAGGGGGGGGGGGATTGGGGGCTCACCATCATAGGCGTAGCTGTCCGGGGCGTCGCCCACGCCGTTGTTGATTGTGAACGGCGTGTCCCGCAAACACCAGCCCAGCTGCAGGATGCCATGAGAGCGCAGAATCACCTGGGGCATCGTTTGGGGGGAGGAGGCGTCACGGCGAGGGAGCATGTGGGTTCGAGACAGGAACAAGCGACCCCGGCACTGCAGCGACTGCAGCTGTGGAGCCGTCGTAATGGAGCGTGCTGCCGACGCCGCCCGTCGCGCGCCGGCGCACCTCGTATTGCCATTTCCCAGACACGACCGCCGTGTTGGCGCGGCACGAGGAGAAGCCTTGGGCGCTCTCAAGGGACAGCGGCGCGAGGCTGGTGCCGTCAGAGGGCCCCGACACCGTGAGGAACGGCGTGGCTGACGCGAGGTCGACCGCCACCTTTGGCGGCCCCACGCGGCCGCGCACGCCGCGACCGGGGCCCGCGCGCTGCTGGCGCGCGAGCGCGTCGCGCGCCTCTGCGTTGAGGTCAAACAATCGAAAGTTGGCGGCCGCGAGGTGCTCGTCGTCGGCTGGCGGCGGCGCGCCCGGCTGCGTGCGGCTGGCCAGCGGCAGGACGTAGTCCAGGGCTGCCTGCAGAGGGGTCGCCATGGCTCGGGTCGGCGACGCCGCACCCTGCTGTGTGCCCGGGCCCCTGCAGGCGCGTTCGCGCATTGTGCACAACGGCGTCAGGGCGCTGCGAGCGGCGCGCGCTAGCCCCTTCAGGGGATCTGCGTCTTGCACCTCTCCTCATGTGGCATTAGAGTGCAGTTTACATTCGCATCGGCCTCTGCCCTTGCAGGGCGCCCATGTGATGTGGTGTGCATCCGTGCAAGTCTTTTTGACACTGCTCCTCCCCTTCCCTTCCCTTCCACAGCGCTATCGCAGGGACACGAGGTTTCATCTTATTCCTGACAATTCAAATCTTACCTCTTGCTTGCAGCGGCAGGGGTCTGAGAAGCTCCTCGCAATGATCTAGACTCTGCTCTGAGTGCTACACCTGAGCGCAGCTGTCACAGCCTCTACCACGCTTATCAGGAGCCTGACATCGTGCCTGACACGCAGCGGCGGATGTTCGAGCAGCGCGTGCCCGTTCTGGTTACTACTGTTGGTTTGGGGCGGTTCAACGGTTGCTTCCTGCCAGGTTCCCGCGTCGATCTGCACTTGGGTCCACGCATAAATAGGGTTAACATTGAATCTTCCAAGAAGCTCACTGGACCTCCAGGCTCGGATCTTCTCTTGCAGCAGGGGCGCCCTCCCACCAAGCGCAGGTCAGACACCTGTTGTGCAGCTCGCCGCATGCTGAGATGATGCACGCTTGCAGTCCCACGCCAGCGCCCAGGAGGGTTGCAGCCGCCAAATGACATGGGATCACACAGGCCTTCATAGGGCTGCATACCCTTGGTGCAGCTCCGCCTGCCCAATCAGTTCCCCTAGCATGGGCCAGACAAACGTTTGGGGGGTGAACGACGACCTTGCCACAACGACCCAATCACTTACGCCACTCCTACGCCCAACCGATCCAATGCTGATCCAGACATCACATTTGAACGATTACTTCTTGCATTCTGAGTAGCACATGAAGAGGAACATTGCGCTTGTTCAGCCTGTGCGCAAATCCCTATGTTTGGGATGGAGTTGATATCAAGTCTGGTGTAGGGGCGTGCCATGCACCACCGGGTTCTAATCGGCCTCGTGAGAACGGGCCCCCAAGACGGTGAGCAGAGCAGGTCACGGCGGCATGCGTGCATGACAAATTGCAAGAGTGCGATGGCTCGCACAAGACATGCCGGATGACACGCTGTTGCGCTAGTCCCCGCATGCAGCTCGTCAGTGGCAAGGCTGAGGATGTTGCCTAGACGATGGCGCGCTCCTGCTGTTCAATAAGAGCATTTGCTTTTGAGCTCTTGTGGCACCCACCGCTGGGTAGAGCATCGGTAAGGAGCAGGGGTGCAGCAAGCAGGAAGGCGACGGAGGGGGAATGCGCCGCCAAGGGTGTGCCACGTTAAAGCCACAAACATGCCTGAACATGGCAGGAGCGCGCTACGCGTGATCTGAACGTAGAGTTGGAGGCGCATGCAGTCCAGCTGTCCAGCATCCTCAACACAAGTATGGAAGACGGGTGCCGCGCGTGTATAAGGCGTGCAGCTGCGTTGCCCCAGAACAAGTGCGAACCGCAGGCGCATGCTAAAACGGCTGCTGCCACGCGAAATAAGTCAGGCATCAGTACTTCTGCGCTGCTTGAGGCCCTGCGGCCGGTGAATGTGACCCGCCTCAGCGCCTTTGCAGGTGCGTGGCCACTCAAATGCTTGACCCCCAGGTCGCACCGACCTTGGGCTAATCAGACAGGTCAGCCTGACTGCGAGCCCACCAAATACCCCACTATGGTAACGCCCACATGTGATGAAAGGCAGCTATCCAAACGCCACGCAATGGCGTGAAGATTCTTGTAGTTGATGAGTGATAGGCCAGACCAGGTCAAGGCACATCCGGTCAGACAGTCGTGGGACGAAAGTCGCCACCACCTTCGTGCTGGTGCAACCGTTGCCGCTGCCGTTTGGCAGAGTGTGCTGCTTCACACAAAGCGCAGCTGCATCCATGGCATGTGGGCTTTGAAACAGCACTATCTCGATGCAACATAAGGTCAACCCAAGCTGCAGACTGGACTGCTGCTGCTGGCATGCTGCATGCCGTGCATGAGGAGTAAATGCGGAATACTCTGACCCCACCGATGAAAAGGATGCACAAGCGACCCTCACCCGCGCAGCGGCACCGCCAAAGCCGGCGGGTCCCCCACGCAGTGGCTTCTCGTGTCAAGGGAGTTGGAATCAATGGAGGGGGTTCTTGGGTGTGGCACTGAGGCGCACAGATACTAGGCAGTCACGCGCAACCACCAGAGCTCACGGGCACGGCCGCTGTGGAGTTCAGTCGTGCCCAAAGCGGGCGGTGCCTGCCCAGTCATTCAAAGGCCTGTTTCTCTTGCTAAGGCAATTTGACGGGTTGCAGCGCGGCGCCGCGGTGCCAGCAGTGCAACCAGGCGGGTGCCCGCGCGCTCAGTGTGCGACCACCTGCAGCGACATCTGCGAGTGCGCGCTGATGATGCGCCGCAGGTGGGCCTCCTCCGTCACCAGGGGGTGTATGATGAGGAACGACTCGCTCAGCATGAGCAGCACGCCCGTGGCGAACGCCAGCAGGGCGGCCAGGAAGATCACGAGGGCGGGCGGCTCGGCGTCCGGCGCGACCGTCGACACCGCCAGGACAAGGCCGCTGACGAGGAAGAGCAGGATGGCGGCCAGCAGGCAGGAGACGGCCGCGCGGATGAGCCCGGCTTCGCGGCGCTGTTGGGAGGTGGGTGGGTTGGGGGCCAGGGGAGGGGCAAGGGGTCCAGCTAGAGCCAGGGGCGCAAACCGGTGCAAACGGATGACGAGTGCTCTAAAGAAGCCAGCGAAGTGACACAACTGTGGTTCCAGGTGGTTCATTCTTTGCGTTCTGTGCCCGTGTGCCGCGGCACGCCAAACACACACCCACCCCCTGGCCTAACCCGCCCCCATCCCCAAGCCACCTGGTGAATAATCTCACAAGCCCTGCGGCTGCGGGCGCCTCACGCGACGCTCACCAGGTCACGAATCTGCCGCTCAATGGCCGTGGCCCACTCGCTGTGCGTGTACTGCTCCTCCGCGGCGATCTGGTCCTCCTTGGCGGCAAGGTCCTTGTGGGAGGATGACCGCGACGAGGCCGCGAGCGAGGTGTCGGGCGCAAAGACGCTGCAGCTGGCGTTGAGGAGGCCCGCATGCGCGACCATGTGGCCGTGCTGCGACGCGCGGTGCTTGCGGGCGCCCTCCAGCAGCTCGCGGTGCAGCGCGCGCTGGCGCGTGAGCACAGCGACGATGCGGTTGTTGAAGGACAGGAGCAGCAGGGCGCACGCGCTGACGAGGACGGCCGGCACGAGGGCCGTGCCCATGAAGGTCGCGGAGGAGATGTTGTGCATGGCGGGTCCCGCGAGCCTGTGTGGATGAGCGTTGGAGGGGCGAGGGGTGGCTGAGAGGGAGAGGCAAGGTGTGGGGCAAAGGTTGGTGTGGGCGAGAGGAGGGGGGGGGTGTCGCCCGCCATGACCTGCAGCACTGAGGCCACGAGGCGGCGTTGGTAGGGTAGCATAATGCTGCATGGCGCACTGTCTCTGCACGCGCCGTTTTAAAGGTGTTCCGTGCACAACTCCCAGGCAAACCAGCGCTGAGGCGCAGCCCACATGTAGCGAATCAGCGGCGCGCGGACTTGCCGCCGACAGGCGGTGTGTCCCGGCGGGTGGCGCGCTGCCAGGGTTGGAACAGACATTCGATACACAGAAATCCATGTCGAGGGCTACCGTGGCTTGCATCACGGCGTCCTCACAACAAAAAGACCGAAGTCCTAGATCGCCCAGCTGTCGCCTCGGGCTCTGTGGCCATTGAAACGTTAAGTGCTCACCTTTTGAAAACAAAGAATGCAGCAAGACGGCCGCAGTACGAACTTCGTGAGTGTTGCGTCACAGAGCAGGGGCCCCACGTGTATGAGCGTTTATACTAGAGCTTCGTAGATAACTCTCAAAAACGTTTGTGGGGTTGCATGCAAGCAGGCGCTGTTGTGTGCGGCTGCTGGACTTCATTGCACATCTCCCCACATGGTCAGCTCGCAAGCCAGCTGCTGGCGGCACGCCGCAGCCAACTGTACTTCGTACCGATCGGAGCGCTGCGGCCTACGAAACACTGTGTGATACATCCTGGTTTCTGCGCGTTGCCTGGTCAGGTTCCTGAGCGCCGGCTAGCTTGGCATCATACTGGACATGCAGCCAGACAGGGTTGACGCCCCCCTGACTGCGGGGGTAACCCCCACGTTTGAGCTCAATCGCCGCGCATCCACCCACACGCCGCGCCTTTTAGATTCTGTGATGTCCTTGGCCACACCTGCCATGCAGTATTACTCACACACATGGCCCCTCAAGAAACGCCGTCAAGGCAAATGACAAAGACTCTAGAGCGCGAGCGGCTCGAGGGCCCCTGCGGAGGAGAGCTTGTTCTTGTCCACGGCCGACAGCGTCTTGTTGTCGGTGTTGCTGCTGAACAGCGCCTTCACCACCAGCGCCGCCGTGTCCTCGCGCGTGATGGCGCCGCAGGCGGAGGCGTCCTCGGTCAGCACGCCGTTGCCAGTGGCGGGCTCCGTCAGCAGGCCGCCGGGGCGGATGATGGTGTAGGCCATCTTGTCGGCGTGGGCCTGGTTGTGTTGACGAGGTTGTAGGTATTTGTTCAGTGGATGGGGAGGCTTGCCAATGCTTGGAGGCGAGCGCGTGAGATGAGTGCGGTCCCATGGCGCAACCGCCTTGCACAAGCCGCCGCGGCGGCCGGCTTGCCGCCATGTCACAAGGGCTGCTCTGGGACAGCAGCCTGGTGGGCGCCAGCTGGACTGTCCTCAGGCGCTGCCCGCCAGCCTCCACCTCCGCTCTCCCCCTTTCAGCCCCTCGCCCCCTGCACCTTGAGCGCGGCCTCGGCCTTGTCCTTCTGCACCAGCACCGGCTCCAGCACGCTGTACACCTTCTCCCCGGGAGCCTCCTTGCTGTCGCCGCAGCCGATCGAGGTCACCTGCACAGGCGCAATGGTGAGGAGCAGGCGCGGCCGTGGTCCAACCGAACGTTGGCAATGAAGGCGCCATGCATGCCACCTTGCAAAACAGCAAGCAGCACGCCGCCCAGCCGAGGCTTCACAGCCTGCACCCGCAAACTTCAAAGGGTCCTCTGCCCGCACTCCTCTCTCGTGCAGGGCCATTTCCTGCCCGCAGCTGCCAGGCTTGCGCGCCGCCCTCTGAAACATGCTCTCTGCAACCGCACATTGAGCTGTTCCGGTGCAGCCACGCCGCGCCCTATGACACCCGCAGCACTGCCCCAGGCGGATGAGGGCGAGCCCGTGGAGCCCACCAGCACAAACTTCTTCACGCCCTTCTTGGCGGCCGCCTCGATGATGTTGATGTTACCGGTGGAGTCGGCCGACGGGTCGGCCACGCTGCCGCCGATGGAGGAGACCACCGCGTCAACGTCCTCGATGGCTGGCGTGCGCGCGGGTGCGTGTGTGAGGTGCGAAATTTGCTCAGGCATGAGGCGCACACATGCAAACACTTGCAGCTTGATGGGTTGCACCCGAGGGGATCCCCATAAGTCCTGGCCCCTGCGCCGCGTGTTATCAGCGCGACCAAATGGCGACCACGGCCTTCGATTGGCTCCAATGTCACAAGCTCTCTCGGTCAGACCCCCGGCCTATCTCAAAGCCCCCGTGGTTGTGGCTGCGCCCCCTGCACCCTCTCACCCGCAAACACCTTCTCCACGTCATCCTTGCTGAGGGCGTCCCCCTTGGCCACGATGGCCATCATGCCCTCAATCTCCTTCCGCCGGTCCTCCTTGCGCTGCAGCATCCACACCCACGACCCCATGTCCTTCAGCTTGCGAGTCACATGCAGAGCCACGCCGCCGCCGCCGCAGACGAGGATGGACGCGTTGTCGGGTTCGAGGTCGGCCGCGGCGACCACGCGCGTGCGCTGCTGTCTGCGAGCAGAGCGGCGGAAGCACGGGGCTCGTACGCATGAGCCAGCACGCAACCATATGCATGTGCAGCGCACAGCAATGCGGCCCGTCCCCTCTGCTGCTGCTGCTGCTGCTGTTGTTGTTGCTGCTGCTGCTGCTGCTGCTGCTGCTGCTGCTGCTGCTGCTGCTGCTGCTGCTGCGCCCTCATCGACACACAGCATGTGCGGCTCACTTCCTCATCGCGGCTCACCGGACAGCTGTGTGCATGGGGCTGCGCGCCGCTGCGGGGCCAAACGGCCGCACTGCATGGCCACAGCAAGGGAGGCAAGTGCAGCGCGCGCAGAGAAGTCAGAAGGGTGACGTTGCGCAGGCACTGCCGCCACACAGCACCAGCAAGCAACGCTAATGCATGCGTTTACAACGCACCTGCAGCACGGCTGCTGCAACCCGCGCTCATGCCTGCGCGAGGAGGGGGTGCGATTGGGAGCAGTCAGATTTCATTAGCTTGGGACTCCGCACGCATGCACCCGCAAGATCTGATGCAAATCAGCTCATGATATTGCCAATGAGCTATCACCTGCGGTCCTGGAGACGCTGTGCTGCATCCCGGCGAAGCTGTTGATCTCGCCCCTCGGTGAGGTCAGCGCGAACTCGACAGTTCTGTCAAATGAGGCCTGCAAACTATCAGCACGAAGCGGGACGTGCTCTGCTCTACCCCAAGGTAGGCGGCAGGAGGCAGCAGCGGAAGCCGGGCGGGGCGTTCAGAGCAAAGCGGACAGGATGGATCTTGCAGAAGTCTGTCCAAAAGGGGGACAAGCACCAAACCAGGAGTTACTTTGTACCCATCATTCGAGATGCTCAACATGATTCCGAGATGTTGATGGCGGTCAACGGGTAGCAACGTGTAGGTCACCGCCAGCGCAACTTATACAGTGACAGGTCATCACAGCCAGCCAAGCCCCAGTACTTCTGCACGTCTCACCACACCAGAGACTTTTCATCTCGCATGCTGTTGACTTATGTACTGGAGCGCACAATTGTGTGCATCATCAACAAAATGATCTATCCCGAGCACAGGTTGCTGCCCTGGATTTGGCTGCGCCAAGAGCAGCCGCGATGCGGCTGGCTACCGTGCAGTGTCAAACAACCTGAATTTTTTCAGCAATTCGTAACCACTTTTATTGACGAGGTCACTTAAAAACAAGGCCTGATGTGCTATCGATATCAAAGCAATCACTGCAGACCTCAGAGCCCCAAACACAACATAAAACACAACACAGCAGGTGAGACACAGCAGAATCAATGCCAACGCCCATGTCATTGAAGCGCTGGGCGGGTACGCCAAAGCCGGTTATCACCAGGGGCTCGTCAAGGCGCCAGGTGTGATGTTTGCACTGCTGGATTGCATGTCTCTGGCGGATGGCACACTCGTCGGGTGTGTCTCCAGAGAGCAACAGCAACTTGTTTTGCCGTGCAGGATCCCCTTGGCTACACGACGCAGCACGAACCTGCAGTGCTGGATGCGCCTGCACCCATGGTCGCTCAGTGCCCCACCGGTGGCATGCTCTGCTGTACTGCCTTTCATAGCATTGGCTGTCCGCAGCGCCCGTTCTTCACGCAAGGCTTCGAACCATCGGCTTTGTGATTTGAATAATACTTATCAAGCGTGTGAAAGACACATTGATCAGGCCTCAGACTGCGACATCGAAATCTTTGCACAAACTATAGCAAACGAGCGCTTCAAGCGTTTGATACCTTCAAATCCATCAAGAAAGCGACTTGGGGTGGAGCGTTGGGGCCGGACGTCTACCATGGCAGAAAAGTCGCAGGCGTCCCGTGGAGGTGGCGTGCAGCAAGCGGGGCGCCTGCAGCCACCGGGACGGGTGCACCCCATAGTGCAACATGGTGGGTGCTGAGCACTGGCAGCGCACGTTATACCGAAGGCATGCTCTTGGGCCCGCGTCAGAGCCCCGTCGGCACTGCACCCGCGTTATGCAGCTGCACAGCGAGACGGGGGACAGCAACTGCCACGTCACGAACACCTGCCACGCGCCGCAGGCGTCAACGCGGGATGTTTGTCTATCATCGGGACCATTGTCGTGGGCCTTTACGGGACGATGACGGGGCGTCAGCCGCTGTACACGAAGATGCTGCGGTCGCGTATCGTCCTGGTGGTGGGTGGCCGCCGCGCTCCGGGCGATGCGCACGGCCCGCTTGGGTGCCCGAGCATGCGCAGCGTCCTCTACCTGGCTGCCTGCACCCGCCTATTTCCTCCAAGATCCTGCCGCTGTTCTCGATTCGCAAACGAGCCCGGCCGGCGGCTGGGCGGCTGCCGTGTTTGTTGCTTTCCGCCTGCCAGCACCCGTCACCCATGCCGAGCCGACGTGCAGCCAGGGCGACCCAATAGCTGACGGCATCGCGCATTCCCCTGGTGTGGCTGCAGGGCACGACACTGGGCCTCTACGTGACCGGGACAGGCTTCTTCCCGGTGCCACCCCCAGTCACCGCCATTTTCGGCCCCCCTTCGCGAACCCCCTTGCAGTAGCAGCAGGGGCGCGCGGCGGCGGGGGGAAGCGGGCGGCGTCACCCTGCACTGGCGGGTACAGGCTTGGCACAGCGCCTGCTAGACACAATAGATACGACACGGTCGCATTAAGGCCTTGTTTGATCACTGCAGCCGATGTTGCAATGCAGGCGCACCGCTGCGGCGCCGCTGACAGGGGCTTGTTGATTACACGCAGGATGGGGTTTGTTGTAACGGTGGGTCCGAGGCTGTGTCAAGGGCCCCACAATATGTGCGGGCCTTGGCTGCTAGCAGCAAATGGCGTGAGCCCAGCTCTACCGATCAAAGCTCTGGCATGGCAGGACATTCAAATGTCGTGTCATCCTGGATGCAGCAAGCTGCAGGACAGTCAGCAGCGCACACCGCGCAAAAAAACCGCACAAAACAAGCCAGCTGCCATGTTTGCATGGCCCCTTGCCGCAGTCGGACCCCCGAAAATGCACTAGGGGCGGAAAAGAATAAAACCTAAAACCGTGTGCGTTGCGCCTTATAAACCTGCCCCAACCGCACATCTGCAAATCAGCACAATTAGGGACGGGGACGCGGCTGCTCAAGCTCAATCTTTCCTCTTGAAAATAAACACGCCGCCTGACTCGACGCCCCGGCCGATGCGGTAGTCGGCGTCGCAGAATGTGGTGCGCCAGTTGGGCTGCGCGCGAGGGGCGCGCCGCGGCACTGACAGCGACAGCTCTGTTTGGAGGATGGGAGCAGCAGGCGTTGATGGGACCGGTTGCAGACGAAGTGTGGCGGAGGGTTGGCAAGCATGTTTGTGCGAGTGTGTATGTGTTCTTGCGCGCACGCGCGTGTGCGTGCGTGTGAGCGCGCGTCTATCTGTGCATGGGCGTGTGCTGAAACGATAATGTACGCGTGGTACCCTGAAGGGAGCCTGCGCTCTCACCTGGGCGGCCAAATGTCGCCCCCCATCGAGGCACAAGACCGCGCTGCCCAACCGCCCAGTTGCACTCCTGCTATTTGACCACCCCGTGCCCTGCCTCGGCCCCCTCACCTGGCAGCATCCTCCCCAAGTCCAGCCCAAACAGCCCCTTGAGCCGCACCCCAAACCCGTCAAACGCCACCTCGGACGCCAGCCCGGGGTCCTCGCCGCCGCCGCCACCCCCCCTCGTGCTCTCCCGCGCCTCGCCGCCGCTGAAGCGCCAGCCTGGCGCGTGGCACGTGAGCCAGCGCCCCTTGATGCGGACCTGAGAGGCGCAAGGGGCAGCCGTTGCACATCGTGCGTCGCTTGATCGCACTGTCAGGTGCTGAGTTTGATGCACACGCAATGGACCTTCACAGCTGAGGGGCCCGTGGTTTGCCTGAACCGGACCCTGGCATTGCCGCTGCAGAGCGCGCGCGCACGAGGAGTGAGGCAGGGGGGAAGGGGAGGGCAATGGGCAGGGG